CACATGGAGCAGCTGCGCCTAGCACCCTCCCAGATGCAACCCCGTGGACAGATGAAGAAGCCTCTTCGTGACATCCTCCGGGATATCTCCCGCAGATCAAAGGCCAATGTTGATATGCGCGGTGGCCCTGGTGGCTCAATCATTTTCGAAGGAAAGGGCTCCGTAGATGCAGTGCGCCAGGCTCTCCGCGAGGTGGCTCAGCAGGTTGGATCTAAGGTACATGGATTGGAGACGCGCAAAGCGAGTATCTAGGCTAACCAATTCGGCCCCAATAGCAATCCGTCCGTGTTCCCATTCCCACATCCGCGCGCGCTCACATTATTGGCCGCCAAGGTACCGTTGTGCAGGATATCCAGACCCGCACCGGTGCCCGTGTTCAGGTCCCCCGCGCTGACGGTAACGCTGCCGACGATGATGACGACGACACCATTGATATTTTGATTGAGGGAGATGCCGTGGCCGCGGAGATGGCGCGCCGTGAGATTGAGGCAATTGTTAAGGAGCGCGGCTCAAACATGAGCTTCCGATTGAAGACCGTCCCTCCTGAGTTCTTCCCCTTCATTGCAGGTGCCCATGACGCCAACGTGCGGGCCATTGAAGAGCGCACAAAAGCGCAGATCAATGTTCCGCGCTATGATACTTGGTCGAGCCAGCCCCCTCCTCAGGAGGCCAACCCTGGCCAAGTCCAGTTCGTGGCTGTGCCTGATAAGCACATTTTGATTTCCGGAGAACGCGCTGCCGCACAGGAGGCTCGGGCTGAGATTGAGCGCTTGGCTGCACGATTGCACCAGCAGCTTACTCTGCGCCAGCTGGCCATCAACCGTGGCCAGCACCAGTTCATTCTTGGAAATGAGGCTGATGCTCTGCACCAGTTCGTTGCACAGACTGGATGTGCCATTGTCCTGCCCCCTGCCTCCGATGAGAGTGAGTTCCTCACCATCACCGGTCCCCTTGACCAGATCGAGGCTGGTATTGAACACGCTATGGATCTTGCGACAAGCATGCAGATGGCTAGCATTGATCTGTCCCGTCAGCACCCCAATGCTCCCGCCGGTCCCAATGCCCACGCAAGCGCTCTCTCGCAGTACCTTCGTCGCCGTCAGGTCATTCAGGAACTCGAATCGACCTACGATGCGCACATTGCACTTCCTCCTAGCGTTGGCGGACCCGTCACCTGGGAGGTGTACTCCCCGTGACGGCAAGAACACCATTCGTGCCCGCTCCGATATCATGAACCTAGTCCAGGCTCTCCCGCCTTCTAGACTCCGCCACGTCTCTGTAGACCCGTACTTCCACCAGTACCTGCGTGACCGAAGCGCCAGCGCCCTTCAGAGTGATTATGGCGTCCACCTGATGGTGCCGGATGACATCAACAGCCCCGAAGTTGTTCTTGTCTACGAAGGCCCCTCCTCAACTGCCTCTCGCTTTGAGGTCCCCAGACAGCGCCCCTCCCCCGCAGATGTTGCAGCCTTCGAGAAGGGTCTTCAAGAGGCCCAGGAATTCCTCCTGGGCACTCTCGGAGACCAGCTTGACATTGTTGCCAAGACGGTCTCCGTGCCTGCCAAATACCAGGAGAAGGCACGTAAATTCATCACCCGCGAGCAGGAGGCTAAGGGCGAGGATAGCATCCCTGTGCGTGCCATTGTTGGTGATGCTAAGGGTTCTCAATGCCAGGTTTCTCTTCGTGGTCCCTCGGCCCTGGTGGCAGAACTTGTTGCCAAGGTGGAGGCTTTCGTCGTGGAGCAGGAGAAGGATGATCTGGAGCGTGGTTACACCACTACCTTCGACTTCCCCCAGAAGTATGCGAACTTCCTGATTGGCAAGCGTGGTGAAAACATCAACAAGCTCCGCGAGGAGTTCGATGTTGATATCAAGGTGGAGAACGGAAAGGTCGAGGTCAAGGGACCCAAGGCTAAGGCGGATGCTACCCGCATGCGCATCATCAATATGGGCAAGAAATTGGAAGATGAGACCACTCACATTCTCAAGGTCCCGGCCCAATACCACCGTGAGCTGATCGGCCAGCGCGGAAACCAGGTCAACCGTCTTCAGGATCGTTATTCCGTCCGGGTTCAGTTCCCCCGCGCAACCGTTGCCAATGATGACTCCACGGAAACTGGCAGCGACGCTGGTGGTGCTCGTCCCCAGCGTACTCAGCAGGCTCCGGATGAGGTCCTCATTAAGGGCCCCAGCAAGGGCGCCGACTCTGCTCGTGACGAGATCCTCAGCTTGCTGCAATATGTCATTGAACACGGTCATTCCGCCGCCATCTCTGTGGCCCAGAGCCAGGTCGCATCCCTGATCGGCCAGCGTGGTCGCGAGATGGACAAGCTTCGCGCTGATACCGGTGCTCAGATTGATGTCCCTAACGCCAACGACGCACCAGATGCGTCTGGGCGCGTGGAGATTCGTGTCAAGGGTACTAAGCAGCAAGTTGCCGAGGCCAAGAAGATCTTGCAGCAGCGGGCTAGCGCGTTCGATGCGACGGTGACTAAGACCATTGAGGTCGATAAGAAATACCACAAGGCTTTGATCGGTGGAGGCGGTATGTTTTCATGCAATGTGATATACTTATTTTCATTTACTGACTTAATATAGGTGCCAACATCCGCAAGATTGTTACCGAGGCCGGTGGCCCTACTGATGGTAGCGCCGCTAGAATGGTCCGTTTCCCCCGTCCTGAAAGCACCGAATCGACTATCCGCCTCGAGGGCAACGGCAAGATCGTGGACAGCATCATCGCCGCGATTGAAGAGTTTGTCAAGGAGCGCCAGGACCAGGTCACGGAGATCATCGACGTCCCCACCGCCCAGCACCGCATGCTTATCGGCCGTGGAGGTGACACGCGCCGCGGCATTGAGTCCAAGTTCAATGTCACCCTTGATATCCCCAAGCAGGGCTCTGGCCGTACCGATGTGAAGCTCAAGGGCCCCAGCAACGCCGTCGAAAGCGCCAAGGAGCACCTCAAGTCCATGCTGAAGGAGCAGCACGCGGAGACTATCGAGGTCCCCAGCCACCTGCACCACGTCCTTGCCGACAATGGCCACATCTTCCGCCGCCTGCGCAACGACTACCAGGTCACCGTTGACCACGCTGGCCAGTCTGTGCCCGTGCCTGCTCCCTCTGCCGCTGAGGATACCCGCACTACAGCTGAAGGTACCGACATGCCCCTGATCATTGACGACCCGAACACCACTGCCGATGCACACTCCTGGACCGTCGTCGACGATAACACCGCAGAAGTCGCCTCAAGCCCCTTCCCTTGGGTTCTCAGCGGAACCCCGGAGAACGTGACCAAGGCCCGCGCCGTCATCGAGAAGGCACTCGCGTCCGCAACCCAGCAGTCCACCACGGGCTACCTGATCCTGCCCGACCCCAAAACCTACCGCTTCGTCGTTGGCCAGGGCGGCAGCCAGATCAACGCCATCCGCAAGAAGACTGGTTGCCGTATCAACGTGCCCAAGGACAAGGCTCGCGGTGAAGCTATTGAAATCCGGGGTAGCACCAGCGGGTTGGAAGAGGCCAAGGAGATGATCCTAGAGGCCGTGGAGAATGGACTTCATGGCGCTGGGCGATGAGTGGTTATGGTTCGTTATTGCGAGAGTGGTTTTTGATCTGACATAGAGAACCTGGCCTGACTTTACAACCAACCACCCTTCTCTGCTTTAAATTCGAGCGAGCGGGAACAGTATCATTTTAGTACTTTTTTGGCTATTTTTATCCTTCAATTCTTGTTTTCATCTTTTTCTTTTGGTATCTATTTTTTCATGAATATTGGTTTTTTAAAATAGTTTCTCTTGATCTCGCTTTCGCATTTATTGCTCCTTGGCCTTTTTCATCCGATTTGTGTCTTCTTTTCTTGTAGCTATTATCCCCAGATCTGATTCAGATTTGTCTACGAGGAATTTATGGACCTGACTCTTTAGTGAAAGAGACGGAGTGTTGCTAGTTAGTAATTGGGTTCTATTATAGGTGGATTGGAACTCCTTTTACCTAAGTATGTTCAATCTACGGAGTATAGCCGACATGTTACATGCTACGACATACATTGCAATATAAATTTGCCTACCAGAAGAGGAACCGAACCGAACGCCGTCGAAAAGCCAAGCTCGGACCCCTCTCATCTCTAGGCTACTGGAAATCTCTTTCGCCGTAAGATCGAATTGGAGATATTGGAGATGAGGGGATGTCGGGCATCGGATCGTCGTCCCCAATGGAGTAAAGGACTCCGCTGGGTGCCAATTCCCGTATTAAGCCCAGGCCTACCTACCTACGTATTAAGGTATTAAGCCCGCTTGGCTATGACACAAGTCCCGAGGTATCACACATTCACGTTGATATAGGTATTCCAGAAAGGGAAAAAAAAAGATTGATCCAAAAACCTATGTCGACAATACACATGTACCGGATACTGTCTGGTAACTCGAGACCTTTCCCTTTCCCCGTTTTGGTGCTCACCTCTTGCCGCTTTTTGACCACTAAGTAAAACTGAGCACGTGCCTGAGTACCTTGACTTCCAAGGTTGATCACGGGCCATTATATAATCAACATGATCTGCTCACTGGAGACCTGTAGTAAGGGTACTTATTATATTTGTAGCTGTGGTACCCAGAGAAAGAATATCTGAAAGAACATCCAACAAAGAGAATTCCCTTAGTGCAGTCCCTGCAATTGCTTTGAGATCGAGGAACCTTTCTCGTGGGAGCTTATCTGTTCTCTCCTCCAGTTCTGTTAGCTTGCAATACCACTGGTCGATTGATTGCGCTTCTTTCCTGATCTCTCCCGTTGACAGGAGTAAGTATCAAGGATAATTACTTTACAGTGTGAGTTACTATAACTTCATTTGTTCCAAATCTATCGGGGATGATAGAAAGCCGATTTCGTGCTGTGATTTGACTTGTATTGGTAAGAACATCTGTTTGGAACACCATGATGCATAATTTATGCAATCAATACCCCCGCATAATGCTCTGGCTAACAGCCATACATCTCCACCTCATCTATTGTTCTGGCTCCTCTGCGAAGAATACCGGCTTGGAGGGGTGAGTGTTGACACGCAAACTCAACATGTCGGGTCTGGAGTAGTGTCCAACAACATCAAGCCATTGCTTGGCTCGAAGTTTGTCATTGACATCGACATTTGCGTACAGGATTCCTTCTTTGTCGGATGGCATGGTGGCAATAGGCTCTCCTCCCGGGCCGAAGATAGCTGAGAAACCTCCGCCAGTACCCTGGACGTATTCAAGGTCTTGCACCTTGTTCTTGTTGAAGTTTTCCTCAGACATCACTTGGGTGCAGACAAGGACAAAGCATGCACCTTCGAGTGCCATGACCTGGGACATCTTTCTATTCATATCGCTGGTCATCCAATACGGCATCTTGGACCCAAAGGATTCAGGCCTATCCCAGAGGGCTGGCCAGGATGCAACATGAATGTCGACGTCCTGTTGATACTCATAGTACCTCAGGAGTGGCTGTGTGTGCTCCCAGCAGTTGAGTCCCCCAATCCTTCCGAAAGGCGAATCGACAACAGTCTTCAACGAGTCGCCCTCACCGGTGCCCCAGTATGCTCTCTCCACATGGGTCGGCTTAGTCTTGCGACGGTGGTGGACAATCTGTCCATCAATATTGATGAAGACCTATTAGCATCTCAACCAGTCAGTTCTGTCAAACAACAGCACACCCGTGGACTTGTCTAGGAATTTCACTAAAATGAGGATCGCTGATGGAGAAACAGTGTAGTCGGTTCCAAACAGGGTCTGTGTCATGCATGCTGGCTAATCATGCATCCAACAACTTGGGTCTTACTGACCTGGGAAATATAGAGTGAGCCCTGGTAGCGTTCACTGAATCCAAGAACACAAAACGTTCCATTTTCTTTGACCGCAGCCTGGATACGTCGCATCTCGTCCGAATCAACAGCCAACGAATTATGGAAGTACTCATCCATAAAGGGGCCGTTATCGAACACACTTGTGGTGAACATACTCCTAACACACCTTAGCGACCATCTTGGATTTTTAGAGTATCGAACATTCAAAGCTTACCACGGATAGCCGGGAATGAAAACCTCCGGAAATCCAACAACATTGGCGCCTTCTTTGCCAGCGTCACCCAGCAGAGAAATCACCTTCTCAACACCACCCTGCAAATCATTCCAGACAGGCTCAGCCTGAACCGCAGCGACGCGGACTTTTCTTTCAACTGGGGCAGTCATAGTGGTTGTAGATTAAGAGACTTGGTAATGTGGTCGATTGAATGGATGATTTGGCAGAGTCATTCGAGGGGAAAATCTGCCGGCTTTTATGCTGGCTCCCATGTATCTTTGCTCTCACATCACGGGGGTGCTATCTACAATAACGATAAACCCCGCTCGGTGTATCATTCTACCTAGGTACCTAGGTATCAGCAAGGCTGAATAATCGGCTTCCAAGGTTACTGCATTTGTCACACAACCGCGGGGTTGACTTCCAAAGTTCCAACACCGTCGATGACAGGACCCACGTCTACGGGCGACTGAGTATGTCACCCGACACATAACTCTCTCATAGGTTTATAATGCCAGGAAATAATTTAGATCCACTCTCACTTCACAAGTACTATTGTTGAATATATAGTTACTTTATATAGTATTTTTATAAATGAATACTGTTGAGCAACCTGTTACTATGGAAGGAAGCAGAGGAAATTATTAATTGATTAAACTAGAAATGTAGGGGGTTATATACCCTGCTAAAACCATCTGAACATTGCTCAATCTGTAGCCAATAACAAATAGTAAGCAAAAGAAGGCTCAGTCTGTAGCAAACATGCATGCAAACATGGGAGATTGTTTAACAAATTTGAATTCAATCTGAATTGAATCTGAATTGAATCTATAAAGTGTATAGTATAGAAATAGTAAATGCTTCAAGAAGGCAGTAATGGACTAGGCGGTGAGGTGGTAACCAATGAGAGAGTTATCCACGTCGCCGATAGTGTGGAGAACTTTTGGAAAGTGGAGCTGCCAAGGTCGGGGATTAATATTGTGGCCTCAGGCAACAAACAATATTTTGATTTTGGGATCAAGCCTGAGGTCTAGAACAATTCATTTTAATCTGGCCTCTTTCTCCATTCGCCTATATGCTCGTCTACCTATAGATCTCGCTATTATTATGACGTCTGTTGCTCTTACAGTTTGGCAACGATTGAATTCATTTACACTATGATCTTGTTTTGATCTCGGTCAGTCACCATAGCATTAAAACATTCAGAGACTTATATACAAGTGCATCAGTAGGTCGGGTACAGAGGTCATCTTGGAAGGTAACCAGGCGGCACAAATTCGGAGAAGCCTCAGATACAACTGGGAGTGCAAGGGAAACAACGAGCTCAAAGACCTAAGTGAAACTTAGGCAAGAATCTAGATACTACCTTCTAGAAGCACTTGATCATGGTAAACCTATTTTTGAGATGTTTATAACTCGCACAATCATTTATAACCAACACGGTATGTTTTCCAAAGTGTCGTAAATCGATTCCGTTAATTACATTTGAGCGCATCAGACTAAGTGATTGCATAGCACGTATGTTCAACCCTACTATAACTAGGACCCGTTGAATTCATCTTTGAGGTTAGAGTGAATGTCATGCTAATAAAGACTAACGAACGTAATTACGATATTGCGCCGGTTCGGCGGGGAGCCAGTAAGAATGATCGACTAGCTCCCTTGGGAATGTGATATGAGTTTTCGAATACCCGATTCCAACACGCAACTCGTTTGATGGCTTATACGAATGCCAAGGGGAACAGTGGAACCGACCACAATCTGGGGATCCCCCACAATCTACCGGCACAATTTGCCGGATATCAACTCAACCTTGTCGGGCTTTGCGGGTCCACTTCTTTTATCTTTTGTCAACGCGAGCCTTAGTTGCGCCTGGGATATACAGCCCGATCCCACTTTCTCCATGCCTTTCGGCCAGGATCTGAGCGAATAGTGAACTTGGCATACGCCATTCGGCGACATGGTGGGTCCTGCGTTAGCTCGCATGCTTAACAGGAGCTCGAGCTTCTGGAGGGATTGGATGGCAATCTACTTTCACGGCTCTCGGCAATACCAGGACTCCCCGTCCGAGCACTATCAGGCAGAGCTGTGGGGGAACAAACCGGGGTAGCTCGTGGCAAACACCAATCTAGCCTTTCAGAGAGGCTTGTTGCTTACGCTCAAGCAGGGCCCAAAAGACTATCCCTTGCTGCACCTGCTCTACGCCCTTTCAAGGGGACAATAAGATTACGGTATTGGGGAGTCTAAACTTTATGGCTGGTGTCAATATCCCTTATGTGTATGTATATCATTTGGACGAGATAGAATATCTCTTAAAAGCCCCGTGTCCACTCCTTCCCATGAATTCTGACCAAAAGCATTTGAGATTGTCTCAGTCATTTGGTGCTGTTTTTCCGAATATATCCCGCTCACATCTCCAATTCTACTCTGACACGTTTCTCATCGGCCTCAAATAACCATGTCAAACACAAGAGGCGAAGTCCAGGGTCTACCCTGGCTGATCTGGGTCGTCGTCATTTTCGGCTCCATTTCCTCCACTGGCTTTGGGTTCGATTCAGGCTGGTGGTCTGGCATCATGACTTCTGCTCAATTCACACGCCGCTTTGGGTCATTTGATCACGTATCAAAACAGTGGGCGCTAACATCCCAGCAACAATCTCTGGGCACGGGGTTGGGCTACCTTGGAATCATCTTGGGTCTTTTCTGCGGAGCGCCGTTGACCACGCGCCTGGGAAGGAAGAAGACTTTATGGATCCAAAGTTTCGTTGCAATTTTGGGCATTATCATCGAAGCGACTACAAAGAGCAGTTACGTCCAGTTTATCATCGGCAAAGTCGTGGTCTTCTTTAGCTGTGGTATCGCCACAAGTGTCATCCCGACCTACCAAGGAGAGTGTGCGCCACAGGGCCTCCGTGGGCTCATGTCTGGCGCTTATAACGCTTTCCTGATGATCGGAGGATTCGCCTCGACGTTAATTGTCTATCTTTGTCGGCACATCTCGAGTGACTGGTCCTGGCGGATTGTTATCGTCGCACAGGTGGTCATTCCTTTCATAAGCTGGATCAGCTTGCCCTTCTTGCCCGAGTCTCCGCACTGGTTGATCTCACAGGGACGATTGGAGGATGCAACGGTCGTGATTCGTCGACTTAGAGGACCGGACTTTCCTGCCGAGAGCGAAGTGGCTCTGATTCAGCAGGAATTACTCAAACAGCGCGAGCGCAACGCGAAAGCCACTTGGGTGAGCTGTGTTGAAGATCCAGTCAATCGGCGACGTACTTTCATCGCAGTTGGCACTCAGATCCTTCAACAAGCACAAGGCATTTCATTCGTCGCCAACTATCAGGCTGTCTTCCTACAGCGGATCGGATTCAAAGAAGTCCTTTTGATGTCGGTTGTGGTATATATTATCGGTATTGTGGCAAATTTAGTAGGAATGTCGCTGACCGACAAACTCGGTCGACGTGTTGTGATGTTGTGGTCTGCCACGCTACTTGGAGCCTGCATGTTGATTATTGGTGGGCTGACAGCAAAGGGCTCGAGCAATATGACCTATCCCCTTCAAATCGCTTCCACTGTCATGTTCGTCTTATGGTTCTTCGTCTTCCAGATCTCCTGGGGCCCGTTGGCGTGGGTGATCACAGCCGAGGTGCCCGCTTCGCAGGTCCGAGAAAAGATGGTCGCGTTAAGTGGAGTCTCCGCCTACCTGACAGGCTTGGTTATCGTCTTCGTTGATCCGTACACACAGGCAGCCATTGGAGGTAGCGTGGCTTTTATCTATGGTGCTTTCTCGATTGTATCTGTGATATTTGTGTGGTTTTTCGTGCCAGAATTGCGGCAGTGCTCCTTGGAGCAAATCGATGAAATGTTCCGAGAGCGGCTTCCGACGAGGGCATTCAAGACTCATGTTTGTCGGATTCCTGCGGATGCAGCATCTGAGAAACCTCATCAGCCTCAGTGCACCGAGGCTGTTGCTTGATCATTATTAAAATCTAAATTGGATATTATAGATCAAAACTAAAACATATTTTAACAGAGATCCTACGGAGTTGCGATTGAAGAAACAACACGGTAGGATTTGTCTGAGAGCTGATGGACGGAGAGGAGAAAGAGAAGGAGAGAGATGTCCCATAGGGTCTTGGTGCCTCAGGCATACATTTAGCTACCTTAGGCACCAATACACCCAACATATTTTGATAGGAAATATCATTGCACTACGCTTCCAGACGAGTTTCAGCTTTTTTTTTTTTTTTTTTTTGGGAAAGGTCATTGAGGTCCCGAACACAAACTTTGGTATCAAATCGCTGTCTTACTGGGGATAATACTAGTAATAAGAATTTCGTTCGAGTTTCTATTGACTGGGAGCAATTCATGTTATAATATTTTCTAGAGCGTTGTGGTGTTGTACAAGCCTTTCTCTTCAGCCAAAGCACCTAAAGCTTAGCCTCTCTATTCTCATTCAACTTTGCTGGGAGAAGTCTTCTCAAAATCTTTCCAGTCGGAGTCTTTGGGAGGGTTTGCAAATGGAGGACACCACCTCTGAGCTTTTTATATCCCGCAACCTGCCCATTTATCCAATCCTTGATCTCGTCAAGGACCTTCTGCTTCTCAGGCCTCGCCAGCTCCACTGTTCGTGGTGAGAGGCTAACATAGGCAAGTGGCACTTCAGTCGCTTGCGAGTCATCATAAATTGCACAAACTGCGGCGTCAGTAACTTCGGGGTGGCGTAGAAGAATGTCTTCCAGTTCTGAAGGGGCGATTTGGAGTCTGATGAATGTAACGATTAGCCATCGGAGATTGAGTCAAAGATTGAAGATCTCCCAACAAACCCTTTGTATTTGATCATCTAATTGGTATTGGTCAGTTCTTCAATTGCCTTGTATGGAGCCGTGACAAGAAATAAAACGTACCTCTTTTAAACGATCGGTGACCCAAAAGTTCTGATTCTTATCCATCCTCAAGATATCTCCCGATCGGATCCATCCGTCCGTGAAGGTTTTGTCCGTTGCCACAGGGTCGTTAACATAACCCCTAGAGACGTCTTTAGTGAAATGTATCTTAAAAGCCAGATCTGCGCGTGAGAGCAGGTCGCATCTTCTTACATCATGACCAATGGCCCACGTAGCCACAACTCTCCCTCGTCGCCGAGAGGGACGTCCTTGTGTGTCTTGGGGTCGACCAATCGACCTTCCCTATCATGACATTAACAGTGATCATATCAACCCGGGAGAGCAGGAGATGGAACATACATGCCAGCGAAAAGCTTGCCAACGCATCCGAACGCCTCCTCGTCTTCGTCGATTTGATGCATCACACCTCCCGTGCATTCAGTCAACCCGTAACCTTTGCTTGAATTTCAGTAAGGTGTCATCAAGAATGGGACCCGTCGCACTAACCTTGAACAACACTCGTACGGGGAAGGCGTTCTTTGAGCAAAAGTTGAACAGATTTCTGGAAAAGGCATACAGTTAGCATTTCATGTTTTCGTATTTTTTCGCAATTTTTCGGTAATGTCCATCGGCCAGCGTACTTTCAAAGGTGCCGCAGAAATGACAATTCTTTCCAACGATGCCAAGTCATACTTTTGAGCAACAGGCGATGTTGCAAGAAGAAGCGCTACAGGAGGCACAAGATGGAGATCGGTAACTTTCATCTCGCTCGACATCTGACAGAATGTCTCGAGGTCAAAGGCAGGGAGACTGCAATAGGACCCTCCAGCCCACATGCCAGACATCACCACTAGAGAGAGTCCATAGCAATGGCAATCTGGGGATAAAAGTATTAACAAGGCCATAAGTCGAAAAGTTTGGAGCAATTAACTTACACGGTGCAAAGAAGACCTCGCGGACCCTTGAGTTGACCCGAATTGGCATAGTGGCCCGCATGATAAGGGAGTTCATCACGAGATTATAATGGGAAAGCTGTACACCTTTCACCTTCCCAGTTGTACCTGAGGAAAAGCAGATTGTGCTTGCCACATCCTTGGAATTTTTTCCTTCGAGGTCATAGGGCGGGATACTCTCTTCAGCTGTTCTGCCGATGATATCGTCCGGAAACTAGAATATCAACTCCTGAAAATCATGTGCCCCGGAGATGGTACTACATACTTGAGGTAGATCCCCTACTTTGCAACGGATGGTCCCGATCTTGATACTTGTATCTGGCAAAGAAGCAAGCGCCAACTGGACCGTGCTAAGCTTCTCCTCGATAGTGACGATATGCGTTGGCTTGGTGATATTGATGACATGCGAAATATCATCCTGTGTTGCGGATGTATTGAGAGGCCTGGTAGTCTAATTAGTGGGATTACTTGAGACCTCTCATTGAGAGAACTCACGCGAAAATAGCACCAGTCCACCATGTCGCATGAGCGAGGAGGACGAAGGCATTCTACATTCCCAATTAAATTAGAAAGCACAGGGAAGAGATTCACCGGATGCCTCCCACCGAATTGTTGACCAATGCTAGCAAGGTATCACCTGGCTGTAGCCCCAATTTCGTCTGCAAGCCCCAGGCAGCCCGCCCAGCCTGGTCGCGAAGGGAGCCATAGGTAATGGCCTCCTTGGAGAAAGTTTCCACATGGACAATCTTTGATCCGGATACTTCGTCGGGATTGTATTGTGTCATAAACTGTGGGATTGACAGATTGGTCAGATCATGAATTGGAATTACTGGTGACTTGTAAAAGGCCATGATGAAGGATACTAGGATATGTGAGCTGTTGGCAAAGCAGGTTCAAACATCTCACGGAAAAATTAGAAACGATGGATGGATGGTCTGTTTGGCTCCGTTAGGTGACTAAGAGCGTTCTAGCCATTCTAAACCACAACAATTTTAACTAGTTAGTTGACTAGTTTGCGAGAGAATTGGGGGCGATTGAGGACATGATACACGCTAGGACTTAAGTAGTGCATGGCCCGGCCGTTTGACCCGTTTTATCCCGTTTGGCCCGTTGCTCCCCCCTTGCTCCCCCTTTTGTTTTCCTTTTGTTTTCCTTTTGGCCCCCATGTCATCTTACACTTGCAGACTGTTTGAAATTAAATGCGACAGGGATAGGAATCCTTCTGAGCAAGAAATGTGGATGTCCATTTGAAAATTTGCCGAACTTAAGCAGCTAACACAAGTTAGCGGTAAATAGCGGGAATAGTCGTCCTCGATCGAATCCTTTTCCGCTTTGATTGACATTGTTCTTCGACCTTTTGAAGTACCGAATCGAATTTTATTACGTCTAATTATATATGTTAGCGTAACAATCCATGCATGTTGCATGTGGGATGATAGTCCATTTACTCCGTACTGTGCGATCCTTCTACCCCAGGGTCGACCCGAAAGTAGGATTAACACAATGCTCTACTTCTCTTCATGTATAGCTTCAGTTCCTTTCCAAATTGATGAAGTCTGATTCACTCTGTATCTCATAAACTCAGAGTGTTCTTGCTGAGTCGTTCATACCGTGACTCGACTCCCAGTCACCGCACAATGCGATGTTTTCGGCTTTGGGCTGCGTTACTATCTCTTGTGGCACCTTTGCTGGCTGGTCTCTCATACGCTGAAACGCAGTCCCTACCATCATGCGCTGTGAGATAAGGGCAAAATCCAATCACTCAGTGAAAATCTAACATCCTTTTCAGCAATTCTGCATTGCCGACCTTCTTCCCAAATCGTCTTGCGTTTCCACTAACCAGACATGTATTTGCACGAATGCCCCTCTCAACAAGGAATTGACCGCTTGCGTGTCGGCAAATTGCACCCTCAAAGAATCTCTCAGTGCGTGTGAGACGGAGCGTATTCTACTTTCACCATGCTAATGAATCACATAGCTGCTGTCAACATAACTGATACAACATGCGGATTGCCCATTCGAGACCAGACTTCCCTAAGTATCCTCGTGCCGGCGGTAGGCATGAGCATCTTCATTGTCCTCATTATTCTGAGAATGATCACCCGCCTCGTGGTCGCCAAGTTGGAAGTAGGGTTAGATGACTGGGCAACAATTCTCCTTGGGGTAAGTCCATATATGTCTTCCACAGATATCATTGAGAACTTCCAGCTAAATTTATCGCAGTGTCTCGCAGTGCCTGTTAATACGGATTCAATATTGCGTGAGTGGCATTGATGAATCCCCTCTCCTTTCCATAAGTTACAAAGTTGCTAAGAATGGCTTTAGTTGGCAAGGCAGGTCTGGGTAGAGATATCTGGACGCTGAAATTCGACAATATCACTCGAATCCTCTACGTAAGATTTGGCCAGTTTACGCATACTTTCACACGCTAACATCCTTGAAAAAGCTGTTCTATATCCAAGAGCTCCTCTACATTACATGTGTCTCGCTCGTCAAGATCGGCTTCCTCTTATTCTACTTACGAATCTTCCCTACCGACCGCATACGTCGCATTATTAAAATATCCTGCATTGTGACAGTTTGCTATTGGCTGGGCTTCCTATTTGCTTTCGCATTTCAATGTTCGCCGGTTAGGTATAACTGGACTATGTGGGATGGAGAACATCAAGGTACATGCGTGAACACAAATGCGATGGTCGTCACCGCTGCCGCATTGAATATTGTCTTGGACGTATGGATCATCGCCCTACCTATTCCGAAGGTACTGAAGCTACAAGCATCAATCACCACAAAGATTCAAGTTCTCTTGATGTTTTCCATTGGGTTCCTGTGAGTCAGATCTCCATTCCCAACAGATCGACACTTCAGTATGAAACAGTAAACTGACTAATCCGTCTTGCTCGAATAGAATTACTGGGGTCGGTATCTATCGCGCCGTAATGCTGAAGCTATTTGCCACCAGCACAAATCCCACATGTAAGACCCCCTTCCGATGATTGAACCTAACGGGCAACAACTAATGGCATTCTACTCCAGGGGACAATGCTCCAGGTGGCTACTGGTCTGTGATCGAAATCGATGTTGGCATTTTCTGTCTATGCATGCCGGCCTTGCGATCGTTGCTTGGTCGTCTATTCCCATCTATCTTCGGCACAACAAAGGGAGCTAGCCGTGTGGGACAAAGCAGTAACCAGAAAAGAGTACAGACTGCTGGTACTAGTAGCGGTCCAAACACAAGCTTCGTCCAATTGATAGAGATGGATGACATGGATAAAGTGGAAAGCCACTCCCATAACTAGTTTACCTACTATGAAATTTACACAAAAGCATGATGCTCCAATTTTATTCATGCACATATAAATGTCTGTATATGTGGGTTCTCGTGTATTAGGGGTAATAGAAACACTCCTGTCGAGCAGTGAGAGAACCCCCGCCTCAAAATTCGCGCAAAGATTCCCTTTTGGCTTCTGGCGCTCTAAGGCGCAAGTTTCTGAAAGTTCTCCAAGAATTAATGGATCGAAATACCAATTTGCCGCGCGTTCAAGATAGTCTGCGTTACTGAGCAACCCTCCTGATGATGAATTCAGTTGCCCGATGTAGCTCGCTCTAAATATATGCTGGTATGCGGGAGTGCTATCAGGCCTGCCGACAGTTAGATGGATGGATGGATGATTTCATTTACGCTGACCCCTCGCTTTTGGGCGATATGCAGCCTTCCAATATGATGTAAAAACATGATTGTTTCCACAATATTGTTCCGAAATTCCTACTGTGAACATTGAATCTCACCGGCGAAGACCCGTCTAGTTCTACTCTGGCCTGTGAAAAGGTTTGTGATACTCCATTATCCCGTGTGATAGCGTCCCCCGACAGAGACGTGGGAGATTTCTAGGGTGGCCGGCGCTGGGATTCGAACCCGAGAACCCCAGAAGATGCGGAGGGATGCGAGGGTCCCTTTTTTTATAAGAAAAAGGAGTGGGGCCGGTTACTATCAACGAACTCCTTATAGAGGCTAATCTCTTCTAGGTATAGTCAAGTGGATTAGTATTACTCACTGATTGGACACTCAGCAACACGAAGTAATCAGCGAGCACCCAATAAGCATTCCTCACTGAGCATTAGTCATTCTGCACGTGACTGAACTGAGCATGATCACTGACCCGGGGTCTAAGCCCGTGCTGATATCTACCCAGTGAGCCTGAGCTTGAGCACCCTCATAAAAGCGGCGGCAGCTCAAATACGAAAGCCCCGCCAGGGAAAATCGGTACGTATAGGTACATACAGTGACTGTTCAAAAGTGTTAACACCCCTGCCCCACACCACTGTGATTATATAATATTCTGCCGGTCAGAAGATTTTCTTTAAAACCATTGTAAATCAAAATCTCTGGCTGTTAATGATTGTTTACAAAAGGCTAGATATCATTTTAGGACAATAGACCAAAATATCCAGATATATGACATGAACTCAAGAGAGTTGAGGTTCACCAGTTCATTTCATATAGGCGGTATAGGCGATAAGGGAAGGCGGTATATGGGTGGGGCTAAAGGGAGTGTTAAAACTTATGAACAAGTCACTGTATATAAAAAGGTAATATATAAAGAGGTAATATAGATATAAAAAAAAGAGATTAATACTCTCATAATGCCCGAAACTCGAAAAAAACAAAACAAAAACAAAAAAAAAAAAAAAAAACGCTCTCTTTGCTCTCTTTGCTGCTTTAGCCAAAGCGACTCCCCATCCGTACTGAAAAGACGGGTTTTTGAATCTTAGATTCAGATCTGCATTCTGACCACACACACAACCCACTCACTCCTCCCATAGTCATCTAATTGCAAAATAAAATAAATATCCCGACAGCATGGCCAGTTTACTGCTGCTGAGCTTGCTGAGCCTGGAGGTAGTTGTATGCGCCGTATGCGACAGCGCCACCGATGAGGATGATGGCGTAGAGGCCGACGCCGAAGCCAGAGGTGGAGGAAGAAGACGAGTTGTCTGAGCTGGTGGATGCCTTAGCCTTGGGGACGGGGTCGCCGGGCTATTTTTGATAGATTGTCAGTACGAACTAGTGCATGTGATTTTGTGGGGTTGGGGGGGAGGTGCCGAGGGTAGGTAGGGGGACACCTCGAGTGTGGGGAAAAAGGTGTTATCTGTAGGAGGGATGTTGGGAATGTGTTGGGGTGGGGTGCGTACCATGCGCTTCACGTCGCCGACGAACATGCCGTCGTCGAGGAGGGCGCGCGCTTCATCGCTGTGGCCGACGTCGTCGAAGGCTTCGGTGCAGTCTTGGCCGGCGAGATCGAGGAGGACTTCCTCACCACCGCTGTTGGATTGGTTAGCTTGTTGGTTGGTAGGTTTAATCTGGGGTTGGTTAAGGAATGCGAGAGGAGTGAAGATAATAGGTTGAGGTGGCCTTTTTTTTCTTCTTATTTTTGTTTTTGTTTTTGTTTTCCCTCTTTATATTCTCGCTCTTGTTCTTTCGCTTCGGGTATTGGGAGTTCTAGATTCGAGGGCAGTGGGTAGATATGGAGACAACGTACGGGTGCTCATTGGCGAATGTGGTGCAATCGTAGACCTTGTCGTTGATGATCAGGTAGAGATCCTTCTTGTTATTGTGCTCGGAGACCTCCTGCAAGGTGAGTTCCTTGACTTCAGACATGGTGAATGTAGATATCTGAACCAGATTGGGCGTCAGTGGACAGGGTTTTGTAAAGACTGCAAGTGAAGGAGGGGATGTGTTGAGTGGAGTTGGAGGAGAAAACAGCTCGGAGAAATGTTGGGAGATAGGAAGAACGACATACCGGGTATTTCGGGGGGAAATAATGGGGCCAAAAAGCAGCTCGAATATTGGAAAAGAAGGAAAAGAGTAGCAAAGAGAGGAGGAGAGAGAGAAGAGAGAGAAGAGGAGAGGAAGAGAGGAAGAGAGACAGATGTGCCAAAAAAGAACAAGAAGAAAAAGAAACCCCCAAAATGTACCTGGTACGTGCGGCTGGGCGGTCTCTTCTTGTGGAGCCCAGGTACCGGGGACTTTTGATGCCGCGAATTACACCCGGCTTATAAGAGAGGGGGAATTAGGGAAAGGGAAATTTTTAATTGGATAGTTTATCTTCTAGGACTTTCTATTTCAACTTTTGTCACTTTATGTCTAACTAATTGAATCTGATACGCTCTAGGTACACACACGGTGGATGTTGTGTTAGATAGGATCTGGGAGGGGTGACGAATCAGGGGCTGCTTATTCGAGTCCATATGAAGAAAGGGAGATCTGGCCTGGATGGTGTGCATTATCTCGGAAAGGACTTGAAGACTTGGATTCTAGAGTATATGGTATATAGTATAATATAGTATAGTATAGTAGTACATCTATAAACACAACTGCCTGGCCACTCTGCCTGGTTAACCGTAACCTCGGGGATCAATCCTCGGGTAACACCGTCGGTATCCGCTTTCCGCTGGCGGAATCAAGAGAATTAAGAGTAATGATATACATAATGTTGTAGTTAGTAGTATCGTAGTAAGTAAAGTAGAGTAAAATACTAAATTCTAAGACTGTGTATAAAATATCCATAATACTATGTGCATAATAATATACACCTCCCTCCCCCAAAAAAAAAGACCTCTATCCAATCGTTGATCATGACAATGTGCTAGAAATCAAAACGCTCATTTCGCTGGAACTCGTTCATAAAACACAATATACGCCTGCTCGTTCTGTAACCGCTCCCGCGCCCGAAGTTCCCGCGGATTGAAGTCCGTGGCTCGATCGTCATCGAATTTCCGCCAGCACTGCCGCTCGGCATCGCGAACTAATGAGATGTAGTGTCCGCTGCCCATGGAAGACCCGAGATGCCGTAGCACTGCAAAGGCATCATAAGTAAACGGCGGGACCGTGGCCCCGGTCGTGGGCGGCATACCGGGCTCCGGAGGGGGAGGAGAAGGGTAAGCAATCACAAAATCGTCCATGCGTAGGCCGTGAAGCGGAAATTCGATTGGGGTGTGGATCTTCCGTGCACTTTGGGTCTTGGATGCAGAAAAGCGCTTGAAGTGGATAACGAGAATCTGGGGCGCTCGCGTGATGATGATCTGCTTGGTTGCCATTCGCTTGCATTTGCAGTGTGGGCACTTCCAGACCTCGTCACCGCTCAGCATCTCCTCCTGGCAGTAGCTACGGAGACACTGGTAGATATCACCGGCACCGGTTGGTGGGATCTCAACACTGATACTGTAGAAGGCCTCGTAGGTAGTGGATGTTTGCCGGCAGGTCGTGCAGCGCAGTCTACTGGCATGTTGTCCTGCGAATAGTGACGAGATAAAAGACTCTTCTCGGTGGCAGTATCGGTCCCATTCAATTCGAGAAACTTTAGTCATCGGCATTCGCTCTCGTTGCATCTCCTCCGAAAAGGTCAAAGGTCGAAGCGGCGTTCGCTGCCAGTTGATATTGAGATCCTCGTGGAGGCAATCGACCACAAAATCAAAGAACTCTTTGGCATCTTGCTGCCGGTCGATGGCCCATTCTCGATTCAAGCGTCCACAGAAGTTCCGGAACGAGGTCGGCATGATAACCTCGACATCATTCTTCCATAGTGACCGGGTCAGGTTCGCATAAAGTCCCGGCATAACGCCCTGAGACCCCTTCCAATTCTTTTGTACATAATAGCGGAATCGGTTGTCGATGAAGAACCTACTCAGTGGAATCGTTGCGCTGAGGCATTGGATGGTGGAATTCATGTAGCACGTCACACCGAAATTGGTCAATCCAGTCCGCGGGATTTTGAGGCGATCTAGGCGGGAGCTTGGAGCGTACAGAGCTGTTCGACTCGCCGAATTCTGTCGGTGCAAATGGGGTTGGATTTGCCGTCCATCCGAGACACCGCTATAACTGGGACGAGGCAGAGCAGGGGGTGGTCGAGAGGGGGCCACCGACATGTGTGCGGCATAATTCGGAGTAGCGGCAAGGGGAGGGCGGGTATCCGCGTGTGTCATGGACTGTTGAACATCATGCGGTTCAGGGAAACGACGCAAGAAAGCCTCATATGTGTGGACAAATGGAGTGGAAGGCTCTGGTCCCGTCTCCTCGGGTTCTTCTGTTAGTGAGTCTTCCTTGGCATGGGCGGTCGTGTCGATCTCCTCGACTTTAGATTTCTCCATCCACTCGGACAACTCTTTCGAATTCAAAGGAGTGAACTCGCGCAGTCGTCTCTTCCGAATTTCAAGGCTTGAATTCGCACTAGCCATGGTAGGCACTCTCCCGAGGGGCCGACCAGGTCGAAGCACGGGCTTTCTGGCCTGCAGAGAACTCATGACAGCAGCAGTTGAGGAGGTTGCAAGGGATTGTTGCCCTAAAAGATCGACCCAGGCATCCAATCCACCCACCAGGAGAGCCGGAGGCCGCCCGGCCTTTAACGGTTTATATGCGTTGAACTCGTAAAGAGTATCATGGAGAGCCCTCAAATGGGGTGCCGATGTCCCCACCGGCGAGCCAGCGAGATAGCTGACAGAGTCGGCGCTTTGATCATAGTACACCACAAGGTCATACTCGTTCCGTTTCTCAAATAAGGCTTGCTCATGCTCCGGTGAAACAACGAGTCGCTCCTCTAGTTCTTCCGCTGACACGTTCTCTTTCAGAACCACAGGTTCTATACAAATGATGGATTTTGCATATACGTGACCATTATCATACTGCTCTCGGGCCCGAACATCGATCAGCAGCACATTGAATTTCCGCAGATTTTCCAGGAGACTCTGTGCAGTTATGGTTGTACTGTACGGTAAATCGGGAGAGTTGCTTCGCGTCTCTCGCGCCGAGTTCAAGCCATTGGGTGTCAGAGATCTATACGGATTCTCATCAAAGCCTCCCCGGGTTGGACTGACACGTGGTGAGTTGCTAAATTGTGAGTATCTTGGATTGCCTGAGCGCGTGCTCTCCGTTGACCTTCTCGGTGGGTTGGATGTGGGCTTTGATGGCACGGTGAAGACAGGGCTATAGGCCGGGTCCGGAGCACGTGGTAACGACGTATTAAGGGGAAGCTTCGGTGGAATGGTCGGAACATTGGATGAAGATCCCATGACGCGAGGTCCCAACGGACGTCTTGGCGGCGGGGAGCTGTGTGTCCCAAGGGGTACATTCGACGGATGAAGTGGGGTCTGGCCTGCAGATCCTACAATTGGGCTTCCCGGACCAGCAGTACTTGCTCCCAACCCATGCTGGTTGGAAGGCGGAGACGCCTTAAGTTTGGCAAAACGTTGCGCAAGCGTATCGTCTGGAGGACTGGAGAATCGTTGTGGACGTGCCTCTGTCTCAGGCATTCTCTGATACTCAGTCGGGCTTGGCATTCTAGCTAAGTTTGTTCCAGACTCTCGATTCTCACGGCCCCGTGGCATGATAGAAATTTGTTCTGGGGATCTGGATGTGAAGATACCGTTTGGCTGCATGCCACTGACCAAATTATCCTCGATGATGTCGCGCTTAATCGCATCCATAGTGCCTTGTTTGGACCGCACTGCTTTCACTAGGTCGGCGAACTCCTTGTACCAATCAGGGCGTTGGCTGACGGTTCGATAGTCTGGATGATGGGGAATAAGATTGATGGTAATTTCAGAGGCACGAAGGTACTGGACGTAGGCTTTGTCGTTGTAGTCGTCATCTGCGAGGTTCCTGGCCCTTTCGATTGCATCGGCGGCCGTTGACAAGAGAATGCTAAGCTACGATCCTTGTTAGAAGGAATAATTGGTACAATTTTCAGCAAGTGCAGAATATACCGGTGTAGTGTCATTAACATTCAATGCAGCAGCCTGGTCTTGCAGGTCTTTAATATTGGGGAACCGAGGTCGCCGCGGTGGGATGAGAGGGGTCTTGCCCTTGGCATATGAATTCGGTTTGTTGACTTGTCCACTGGGATTCATGTCGTCCCCCACCGAGTATGGATGCCGGCCGTCCTTCCACGGTGGTATTTTTGGGGGAGATGGCAAAGTCGCCGCATTGGAGGACATGGTAGATCCAGGCAGCGACAAGCGGACTTAGCGCATGGTTATGTCCAAGACCAGGGTGGGAAAAAGAAAGTAGACCAAACCGGTGGCGTAACCAATCCGCCCAAGAGTTGATTAAGTCCAAGTAACAAACACAAATAACGAAAGACAGACCAGAGTAAAGAGGACAGATCCAGGGACACAATGCGGGATGCCTCTGGGGTAATCAGATGACAGTACTTCACCGCCCTCAACCTATGACGCCAGGGGCTTAGTCACTATTATTGAGGTGCCTGGAAGCTCCTCCTCCAACTTAACAGCCTGATCTTCATATTTGCTGCATTTAAGTGTCTTGGCTTTCTGCAACACTATTGTGATCTGTTTCCCTTCAATATTACACGCGCTTCGGGTGTTAAGCCTTCACCATGGCAGGCTGGTTCTCTTCAACCTCGCCGCTCGATGAGCAAATCGAGCGGGCGACAGCTTCCTCCTTGTGAGTTTTGATTGCCGTGTTATTATCATGCCCATATGTACCGGGGCTACCTACCCGGGTTATCTGAAATGAATGATTATGTGGCTAACCCACTTTCAGGGAAGACATTGCGCTCAACCTGGAGATATCAGATATGGTTCGATCAAAGAGTGTTCAGCCCAAGGATGGAATGAGGTCTTTGAAACGGCGACTCGAGAATAGGAATCCCAACATTC